CAGAAAGGTCCTCTCTGAGACACATTATAATCAAACTGGCAAAGCTCAAAGACAAAGAGAGAATCTCAAAAACAGCAAGAGAAAAGCATTATCACCTGTAAGGGAACCCCTATCAGACTCACAGCAGACTTCTCAACAGAAACTCTACAGGCCAGAAGAAAATGGGATGATATATTCAAAATATTAAAAGAAAATTTTAAAAAACCCTGCTAGCCAAGAATACCCAGCAAGGCTATCCTTCAGAAATGAGGGAGAAATAGTATATTTTCAAGACCAAAAAAAGCTTCAGGAGTTCACCAGCACACAACAAACTGTGCAAGAAATCCTGAAAGAAGTCCTGCATCTGGAATTTTAAAAACAATAATTGCTACCAAAAATACACAAGAAAGAACAAAGACAAACAATAATAGGAGAAGAAAGGAATAAAAGATTTAAAACATCCAAATGAAAATCGATAAAATACCAGAAATAAGACAATACCTTTTCTCCCCACTCAGAAGACACAGACTGACAAATTGTATTAAAAATCTAGACCCAACTATATACTGTCTTTAAGAGATTCACCTCTCCTGTAAAGATACACACAGACTAATATTCAATGGATGGAAAAAGGTATATCGTGCAAATGGAAATCAAAAAAGAAAAGGAGTAGCTCTTCTCATATCAGATAAAATAGACTTTAAACCAAAATAAAAGAGAGAGAGAAAGATAAAGAATGCCCTTATATAATGATAAAAGGATATATCCAGCAAGAAGACATAATAATAATAAATATATATGCACCCAACACCAGAGCATCCAGATATATTAAGCAAACACTATTAGGCCAAAAGAAAGAGATAGACCCCCCAATACAATAATAGTAGGGGACCTGAACACCCCTCTCTCAGCACTGGACAGATCATCTGGAAAGAAATTAGCAGAGAAATACAGGATTTGAACTATAGTTTAGACTGATTGGACCTGGCATATACCTACAGAACATTTTATCCAGCAACTAAAGAATATATATTCTTCTCATCAGCACATTGAACATTCTCCAGGATAGACCACATGTAAGGTCAAAAATCAAGTCTCAACATATTTTTAAAAATTGAAATCATTTCAGATATCTTTTCAGACCACAACAGATTAAAACCAGGAGTCAATAACAAGTGAAACTCTGGCAGTTATACAAATACATGGAAATTATATAACATGCTCTTGAAGGACCTATGGGTCCCAGAAAAAATTAAACAGGAAATCAAAAAATTTCTTGAAACTAATAAAAATAAAGACACATAATACTAAATATTCTTTATACACATTTCACCTCCTACATAATTTAATCTGTGGTTTTCTTTTCTTTTGATAATACATAGATAAATAGTATGTAGTATATTCCACACACCTAACATCACAGAAAATTTCCCTGTGTTATCTGGCTCTCCATACTTCCCAATTTGGGGGGCTTTGGCCTAAATGTGTTAGAAAAATGAAATCTCTTTTATAATCTGTTATAGTCTTATTCTTGCTCCAAGAATATTTGGAAAATATAAAACTTCTCATGGAAGCATAATGTAGATTGATGTATATCAATGTTTAAGTTATTTCAATGCCGGGGATTAAAGTGTACATATAATATGTAAGTTTAACATATGCATGTGATGGTATAAAATCTAAATAGATTCAGAATTGGTGTGGTTGATGTGTTAGGAAATCACCGATACCAAATCTGAATTGTTCCCTGATTTAAAGTCATTTATATTAGACTGAGCTATATGGTTGCATGGTTTACTGCATTAAAAGAAAACGTTAATCTTCTCAGTTCTTCAAATATAGTAAAATTGTACAATGAATTTAGGATTCAGAAGATACTGGTAAAGAGTTCAAAATCACAAATCCATTTCATAAACTATTAATTATTACATTATGTAATTGAAATGTAATTATCACATTATGTAATAAAATACAAACTAACTTAAGCCAAAAAAAAAAAAAAGGAGAGGGGCACATTGCACATAAGTGGGACCTCTAAGGATGAAGTTGGCTTCATCGTCAGCTGAGATGAAGGCCCAGATCAGTCCTCTATGACACCATCTCTGTGCTTTGCTTTCCCTCTGTATGCAGGCTTCTGTGTTTCATATGTTTTTAGTGGCAAAACTGCCTTCTTTCTTATAGGGAAGGATTCTGACTGTCCACCTTTAAGTCCTAGCAGGTCGAAAGGGTGCTACTGTTATCCGTTGCGACATTAAAAAACACACCAAAACTTGTTGGCTTAACATGCAAACATTTATTTTATTTACTTAAGATTCTGCAAGTTAGGCAAAGCATGTCAGGGACAGCTTACCTGTGCTCCATGTGATACCAGCTTGGAGCTCAAGGATTCACTTCCAGGACAGTTTCACTTAAGCAAGATAGTAATTGCTGTTGGCTTGAAAGTCAGCTGGGGTTGTTGGCTGGAGGACTCATTTCTCTCATGTGACCTCTGCACATGGCTGGGTTGAACTCACAGTGTGGCAGCCTCTCAGTTGCTGGACTTTGTACATAGCAACTGACTCCTTCCCAAGCACAAAGTGGAAGTTTTGAGGTCTTCTTTTTCCCACCCCCATCTTAGTGGCCACTTTATTTTTAGCACATAGCAAAATTTCACCCACACATTACATAGGGTGGAGTCACAGAGAAATTTCAGGTCCTTGTGGTACTGGTTAATAGCCTGTTCTTAAGGTGTATTCCAATACTGAAACAAGGTCACTCATGCCACATTCTATTGATTAAAGCAGAGCACAGGGCCGGGCCCAGATTTAAGGAGAGAAGACTACATACACAAGGGTGTGAATACCATTGTCGTGGCTCATTGGGGCCACTAAAATAACAGTCTACCAGAGTAGACAGTGAAGCTCCATGACTAATGGTCCAAACAGAACCATGGGGAAAATGGCAGGGCAGTCCCTCAAAGGAAACAGGGCTGAGAGCAAACACCTGGTATCTATAACAATCATTTCCTAGAGTGCTAGAAATTATTCAATGAAACAAAGCTGTGTTTCTAACTGTATTTACTATATGTAGTTTTTACATTTTTTGGAGTGGGGGGAATAATTAAAAATGTAGGTTTAAATTTAAGGAATCTCAAACATTTTTCCCATTCAATTTTTCCATATTGTGACTGAAAATGATGATAATATACAACAAACAGCTCTATAAAGGAATTAAATTGTGTGTGATTCATGACGAATAAACTGTAATGTGACTAATCCAGTGCTGGTTATTTGCAATAACCTTTTTAATGTGACAATTCTTTGGATATTGTAGTGAAATATTTTCACCCTACATCTGCATTTTTATGGTTTGTATTTTCTCTCAACAGTACGGATCCCAAATTGTCAAATTATTTGAGCTGATTAATGGTAATTAGCTTTAAGTTAGAATATTTGAAATGCATTCAATTAATTTTATCTGTTTAGTCAAGTACAATAAGGTTTTTAGCATTGCAAAGTTTTCTTTATTATATTAGCTATGCATAAGTTTAAGGATATGGTGGACTCAAATTACTCTCATTTGAATTTTATATTCAGAGAACGAACATGCAGCATTGGGGATTAGGTGGTATTTAGGAAATATATGTATAAGGATTATTTAGGATAAAATTGCTGAAGATCCTGGAATATTTAGCACGCACTTGTTGATTGATTTTACCTGCAGCAAATACGAAGCAATAACAACTACATAAATTATTCAGAGACTACTCATCCATATCAGGATTCTTTACAGATCACTTCAGAAAACAGTTTAGCAGGGTATTCTCTTTATACTTATTTTTCCAAATCCATGTACAAAAAAGATATAGATCCATGTGGAATGGATTACCACTGATTCTTTTAAAATGAAATTAATATTTTAAAACATTCATGTGATGATTCGGTGATCTTCTCTACCTAAAGCTGTCTTTGGTAATTTATTTACCTTAAATATTATTTTGGTCTTTCCAGGGATGTTATATAGTGGGTGTAAGAGATTTATTGAAAACCTTGGATCACTTGAGAGTGCTTTAGGACTTTGCCTTAAAATCTGCACATAGGCAAAATTCCTGACATAAGTTGGGATTTCTAGTGTAAGAGGATTTCAAATCACTGCTGAAGCAAGGGCTTGTTACAGGTTTCTAAGAATCACATATCAGAAAGGTCTGGCTACTTACACAATTGCTCAAGCTAAAATGGGGCAGGACTGAACACATGGAATGAAAGACACCGATTTAGACTAAGTGAAGGTATCGAGTTCTCTTAAAATGGGCCTTTTATTCTAGAGAGATATCCAGCTCCAAAAGCAGACAGAATAATCAGCATTTACACAGTTATGGATCTCTTTGTATATGGAGATGCAGATTACTTTTGAAAGATTTCCATTCTTTAAAGCAGCTTGAGACATAATGTTAGAAAGAACAGGGGTTTTGGTATTTGCAGATATGGAGTTAGAGACCTGCAAATATCTACTTACAAGTCATGTGACTTTGAAACATTCATAATAACCTGTTTGGGTTTTACTCCTGTACTCTCAGAGTAGTTCTGAAGATCCAATGAGAAAATGCCAAAATACTTCACACTACAAAGCATTATTGTTATTAAAATTTGTATTATTACCACTAATAAGAAAAATAAAATGTGATTGAGTAACTGCTCTGTAAACAGCACACTGAAAAATCTAAGTAGGTTGGATGTGTCTAATTTTTAAAATACATGTTTACTTAAAAAGTATGGACCTGATTCAAGTACTTAATGCATCTCCTCCCATGATTTTTAAAGTATTAACTCATTGTACTGCCTCTCATTGCTCACAATATCAGAGGACTGTACACATCTTTCCTCAATAGTTGGGGATTATATTTTGCTAGCTGCAACCTAGAAGGGTCATGATTTGTTTTCCTGAGATGATTTGTATCCAGTTGTAGGAGGTTCGGTGGTGGCATGGATTGTGTTGGATATTTTTGTTAATGGTGTGTTTCTCTGTGTTTCTCTCCCAGCTATCGGCAGGACCCTCATCCCTCGTTACTTTAGCACTGTGTTTGAAGGAGGGGTGACCGACCTGTATTACATTCTCAAACACTCGAAAGAGTCATACCACAACTCATCCATCACGGTGGACTGCGACCAGTGTGCCATGGTCACCCAGCACGGGAAGCCCATGTTTACCAAGGTACAAGGCAGGCTCAGTAATACATTGGCTTGTTCTTCTGAGTGAACTAAAAGATAATAGTTATGGGTTTCTTCTGGAACTTTAAGCTGACTTCTCATCTCTCAGACACTTTCAGCACCATGAGAGAATCTTTTTTGTGACCTAACTAGACTCTGTGAGCAACTGACACCGAGCCCGGGAAAATCAAACATGATAGAGCCTCAAAAGTAAGAGGAAGAGGTTCTACTGCCTTTTAAACTTCAGTTGCTAAATTGGAATTTTTCTTTTTGTACAAAGGGTCTTCTACAGCCAAAAGAACATTCTCCTATTGTTATGTAATTAGTATTTGTGCTTTGTTACTAAAAAGAAAAATTTTCAACCTAAATTCAAATTTGAACAAGCAGGGAAAAAATCCACTGACCGTAATCTAACTGTATTCTGTAAGGAACATAAAAACATAAAAATATAAATGAAATTAGGGAATTCAGAGTTTAAAATCTGTTTTCCCAAAGTCTAAGAATTTCGGTCAGTGCATGCAACAGACAGCTCAGCAAGTGAGCAGAGCAGAGCCATAAGCTGGTTGTGAAAGAGTGAATGAGAAAAACGAGAGGGGAGGACGGCTGCTAGGATCAGGTAACACAGGGTTTGAGGCAGAACTCAAGACCCTATGAAGGATGTGAAATGAAAAGAAGCAGGAAGTTCAACCTCATCTTCTATGCGTTTTACACCTACGATCTTTGCCATACACAAATAATTGACATGTGAAATATTCCCTCTGGGAAAAGATTTTTCTAGAACACTATAGATGATCCCTTTATGTCTTCTCCCAAGTAGAAAAAATGAGTAAAAACAAATATCTATTCATAAAACCTGGCAAATGAAAGTATATTTTAATGAACCCTGGTTCATATGCATTTTGACTAAGACTCAATGTGAAACTAACTTGTTATATTAATGACAGCAATGATCTCTTTTAGTTCAAAACACAAATGACGACCTTCTCTTTACAGTTAAGAGAAGTTGAATTAACAGGGTTAATTGCAAAAGCCTAAATTATAAAACTAAAGATGTGTTTGTTGCTTATGCAATTTTGCTGCAAGAATAAAAAAATAAAATGTTCCTTATTTATTCATTGATCTTGTTGGAGCCGTTTAATCTTTCTAGTGCCCATGCTGGTATACAAAACCGAAAGCAAAGGAAATGGTTACAAAATGCAAAAGCAAATCTTCAAATGTCTCTGATTCTATGGTATCTCAATTTTGTCAGTAAACATTTTAAATGTGGAACAGGGGTAGGGTTTTTCTTCCGTTCTAACAGTTAGGCAGAGAGGAAAGTTGTCATTTGGAGACAAAGACACATTCATATTGAATGCAGAAGTCTGTGTTGGAAAGAGAGTTTTGCTCTATGGGAAGGAATGATCACCTGAATAGTGGTTTAATCTGTCTATATCTCACTTCATTCTGGACATGCAGAACATTTACATAATCTTGTAGATCAGATGCATACACAAGCCATTCATTTCTAGTGTTACAAAGTCTGACTACTGTAGAGAAGCCTTTCTCTGTTCTTCATTATCATTTTTTTTCTCTAGGCTTACTGTTACTTTCAGGTAACTGAAGAAAAATATAGGCGCTCCCTATGCTTTAAGGGAACAAAAATCCCTGATAATTGGGTAAAAAGCTTTGCCATAATTAAGGAGCTCCTTCCAAAGCCTGTAACCATTGAAAATACAAATGTGTTTTTTTAGTAGTCCTTTATATATTTACTCAATTTCTTTCTTTCTCAGGCCAAAACTTTTTCATAAATGAGCATAGTCAGCTGTTCTGAAGGTATAGGGCTGCACATTTGGGACTTGTTTGAGATCAAAAAGAATCCCATTCTTCTGATGAATTAATAAAGTGCTGTTTTCATTCAAATCAAGAAACTAAGGTTTTCCTCTGCTGCATTCTTTCATAGCCTGGAATGCTTCCCTATCAGATAGTTGAGTGGTTTGTTCAGGCATCCAAGGCAGGCTCCAGAAAGACCTGGGCACTCTCCTGAACACAACTTCCCTGGCCCCAAACATCAGTCATATGGACCACACATTTTTATAGTCCACTCTATGCAGTATATTTTCCAACTCCTGTAATGAATATTTCCAGATCGTGATGAAAAATATCACTTTCTGGGAAATGTAGCTTAGTTATATGGACTTAGTCCAGATGCTAATTATGCTCATTTATTTTTAGGAAATTTAAAAGAATTTTTTTTTGGCTTCTTGGTGATTATTATACTACACAAAAAAATGTGCCAAGCATTTATTGTTCTTATATTAATTTAAAATAACTCATCTTTGGGGCCGGCCCGGTGGCGCACTGCTACAGTGCGCCACTTGAGAGCGCGGCGGCGCTCCCGCCAAGGGTTCGGATCCCACATACAGACCGGCCGCTCACTGGCTGAGCGAGGTGCAGGCGTGACACCGAGGGTTGCGATCCCGTTGCCGGACATGAAAAAAAACAAAAAGGAAAAAAAAAATAAAATAAAATAAAATAAAAAATAACTCATCTTTGTGCAATAAAATACTATGGCTATTTAGTATAACACAGTGGGCTGATGACCTTTCAGTATCACAAAGAAAAACAGTTTGGAAACCAATGCTTATTTTTAAAGGGGAGCCTGCTATAGGTACAGTACATGGCATCACTTAGCACCTTCGCTGTAGTGACATCACATTGTTCTAATTTACACTATCAATAAGCTCTCATTCCCCAAACAGCCTTTGACCTGGTGATTCTGGGTTGCTTTTATGAAAATTTGGTCAACTGGTGAATCAAAAACCAGCTGCAGTCCTAATCAACAGTACTATAAGATGTTCCTCATGAGTATAGTGAGCATTTTGCAATTTCCTGGTAACAGAAACATTATAGAATACGGATAAATATGTAATTAGAATTTTAAAATACATATTAGCAAGCTTTTCTTTTATGTTTTCCATTTTTTAACCAAATAGAAAACAAGACTTAATAATCAGAAAGGCAGGCACCAAGGTTTTCAGAATCAAGGACCCCTAAGTTATATTTATATTTGAGCATGCAAACATGGGCATATGCTGAGAAGAGCACTCTCTAGGGTACATTCTTGGGGTTATTTTTAGGTTTTACAAACTGGAACAATAGTAACCACGATTACAGGACACCTTTACCACCTCTGTAAACATAGTTTATGTTTTTTCTGTTCTCAATTATTTATTATGGAATTATTTTCTGCTATTATGAAATGACTTACTATTGTAGGAAAGTACCATGAAAGTACATCAACCAGTTTTCCTATATGAATACCCACTTCTGTCACTGACAGTTCATCGTTCCTTCTGTAGCCTGTAACCACATCATACTCCAGAATTTTTGCTCTTCTCACTGTAACCAAATTATAATATCAGTGATCATATTGCCCTGTGTATGGATATGTGTGTGTGTGTGTGTATTCACATATGCACTCTCTAAGTAAAATACAATGAGCTTTATGTAACTGTTCATCTAAAAGCACTAACTATGCATGCTATTTGAAGCATAACGATTAAGAAAATTAAATAAACTTCCCGTCTGAAAAGCACACATTGTTTTAGAAAAGCTATATGAGAATTATTGTATTATACAACTACATGGTCCATATTGCTTTGCAATTAGTCAAAGAAAGAAAGGGTTAAAAAGCTACTGGTTAGTTTAAGAAATGTTCTTTTTTAGTTCTCTTGTTCCTGGCCTAGTCTCAAGCCAGCACGTGATCTGTTGAATGCCTGCCAGCCTCTCTTGTTGATCCTCCGGAGACCATCTGTGCTGGGGGCATTGATTAGAGTGTGTCTGCTGGGATTACATCTTTTCTGTTGCCATGCCAACTAATCAGCTGATTTTGGTTACCACAGAAACAAAATGTCAGAGCTCACAGTACGGTAACATGAATTCGGCACAACAGAAAATGTTTTCTTAATTGGGGACCCTTTTGATTTTGGATTCCAAGAGAAAGGCAGCTTTAAAAAAAAAGGCCAACTTTAGATAAAAGCTACATTAATTGTATTGATTAAGAGGAATGCACAGAATTTTTCTGGAGAAGACGTTAACTTCCCTTTTTAGGCTTTGCCCATTTTTTACCATTCTAAAAAAGGAATATATATATTTTTTTCTTATATGCCTTTATTCTATTTACTGATTGTTGCATATAAAACAAATCACAAAGCCTTTAGTTTCCTGTGACTTCTATGATGGGGGCAGGGGCTGGAGGGGCTGTCCAGGGCCTGGGATGAAACTGTGGGTGTGATTACTTGAGGATTACCAGCGGTGACCAAAATTCTCCTCCATTTTTCATTCAGGAAAGTCATTTATTTCTTCTTAAAGAAAACACCCGACACAGTCAGCTCACATTCAATTGTAAGGATTCCTTTCTTGCATATGGTATGCGCTGGATAGAGTTGATTTCTTTGTTTTGACTGAAAAAGGATCCCAAGACTTGTTTCAATTTTCCATTTTGTAGACCCATGACAGTTTGACTGCAAGAAAGGTCCCCAAATGGTTTGCTATCTCACAGTGAACAAAGGACACAATTTAACTTGACCTCACAGATGCTCCAATTGAGTAATCCATCAGAAGGACTACATGCATGCCTTCTTATTATGAAATTTTATTCCAGTAGACCTAGACCAGAACCTCCACCTGCTCTGGGCTTCTGCTTCATAAACACACAACAAATAGATTACATAATAAAAAAGCCTGACATTTAACTGGGCTAATATTTCTTTAAATAGCTGATAATCCTCTGTCTTTATAAAAAGGATTGTAACATCCAAATATCCCTGTCCTGTTTTGTTAAGACATTTCCCTGTTGATGTAGCGATAGCTACCTCCCTTTTGTGAAAGCTGTCACTGCAGGTGGCTTCTGTCATGCTAACACTCTGCGGGAAATTGTGTGGCTTAATGTCCATGCAACTCTTTTGAAAACCTTGATAAATGAATTTCAATGCTGACGATGTTCTAGGGGAGTGGTTTGTGGACGCTGAAGTCTTCCCCCATCTCAGTGCACTCAACTCTCATAACTAAAATGCCAGAAACAAGGCTCTGCAGACTACACAACTAAGGAGTCTGGGGCAAGGTACCCAAATGTCTGAAATTACCCACAGATTCTGCTCATTGAATCTGAGGTAGACGTCTTAACCTAGATTATCAGTAATTATCTTGCAGTGTTTCTGAGACCTTAGATAAAACGAACGGCAGACGTTATAGCATCTTCCTTGAGTAGTTAAGTACCCTGTTGACAGTTGTTAGTAATTCCCCTGTATTAGTATCTGGTTTGTTTAAAGAAACTATTACCTTCAATTAGAGTGCATGGAAAGCACCTAACGCAGTGCTGAGGACGCATTTGGAACCCGATATATGGTGATGTTTTATATCAAATTCCCAAAGAGGAAAATGATTATTAATATTTCATAAAGAATTGATATAAATGTTAACCATCTTCATGGATCATAGTCTTAGAAATGCTCATATTCCCTATTTAGTTAGTTAATTAATTAATTAATTAAAACTGCATTTTTTAAAGTTTCCAGACTTTTGTGTGTCTGTTTTTAGCCTAGGAAATCTTTCTCCAAAAAAGCTTGATCAGAAACCCAATATAGCAAGAGATAAAAATCAAAGCCGCTCTGGTGGAATCCAGAAAATGGTTGGGGATCTCAGAGTCGAGGTAGAGCTCCTCCCCGCTGAGCCTCTGAGATGCTGCTAATGAACTCCTAGGTCTCAGCACATTATGACAATCATCTTTAATTGCATTTCTTTTATTTGTAAAGCTATCATTTACTGTTCTCCTACTGTCTGCCAGGCACAATACTAGGTAATCTACATACATAATTCATTTAATGTATTTTCTCAACAACCCTACCTAAGGATATTATTATCCCCATTTTACAGATGAGAAAACTGAAATTTAGGGAATTTATTATTTTTTTCCCCAGTGTTCCAAAACAGGTAAAAAGTAGAGTCAGGGTTTGAATCCAGTACTGTCTGATGCCAAAGCCTCTGCCCACTAAGGCAGATACAGGCTGGTTAATGAGTTGTAGCTATTTAAACTGGACCAACGTGCCACCATCACTTCTATCTCATAGCTGAAAGGGGCTCAGAGGAGTGTGATTGCCTGTCATTTTCTTCCATACCAAAGTCAGTAACAGTGAAAAGAATGTCAAATAAAATAGGAGCTAGATGCTAAAAATTATATAAATACCAAAAGAAGATAGAAATGCTACCTCGTCACTGATTACCAAGAAAGAGAGTCTTTGAAATTCTATTATGTTGCATTAATAATATATATTTTTCTTATAAAAATAAAATGTCTGTCTCCCTCCAAGACTGGCCCTTTATGCAGGCAGAATTTGTCATTGCTGATGTGATGAAATTCAGGGAGTATATTCTCTAAACAAGCCTCTACTTTCCACATGTCAGTAACTGATACCCACAGCTGTGAGTTTAGCAAGGCCCTCTGGAATTTCTCTTTGGAAATGAAATTTCATCTAGTTGGGTAACTTTGTAGCAACTCACATGAATGAATTTATTAGATACATTCTCTCAGAGCAGGATACACAAGATGAGAACAAGAGCTCCAGCTCCTATGGGGTAGAAGGATGCTGAACATGGAGGAAAAGCAGAAAGTGAGGAAGCACTATTTCGGATGGAACATACTGGGTGCCAGGAGTGTTTGGCCCAATATCCCTACAAGATGGGTTTTGTCCTCATAGTTAAAGATGAAGTAATGGAAGCTTGGAGTTTCAGTAGTAACCAACAGTTACTAGTACCTCATGGCTAGTAAGCAGCTGTGCTGTCTTGTAAACCCACTGATTCCAGAGCTGACACTTGTCCCCATGTGCCATGGATAGACCACTTGTGTCACATCTTCACCAAGAGCCAGCACCACCCAAGGACTGTAAGGGAGAGCATGCTGAGAAGCTGATGTGTGAGTTACAAAATATGGCTTTCACAAAGTGCACAAGTGAGTGTGTTGTTTGTTGCTTCTAGGTATGTACAGAAGGCAGACTGATCTTGGAGTTCACCTTTGACGATCTCATGAGAATAAAGACATGGCACTTTACCATTAGACAATACAGAGAGTTAGTTCCGAGAAGCATTCTAGCCATGCATGTAAGTAATCTAATTTCTAATTTCTATTTTCCTTTTTTATTTTCCTCCTCCATTATACTCAAGGGGAAAAACCCAGTTGTTTCTCTGTGAAAGAACTCCAGAAGTTGTCACACTTTAGATAATTAAGTCTAAATATTGAGTTTTGCTCTCAACCATTTTAACCCACAGGACTTTTTACCCCTCCTTTGTTTCCAAGTTTAGTACCTTGTGATACTATTTTTGAAACTTTATTATGTTAAACTCCAGATTGAGGTTACCTCAATAAACAGTTTGTACTTTACTTAAATTCCATTCAGTTATTATTGAATACTGCTCTGCCTGGGCTAATAAACCTGTTATGTATAACTACGGGGTGAAATAAAATAAGAAATAACAAGAACAATTTCTAGTTTTAATTAGAACCATCTGACCAGACTCAAGACTCCTGTACCTTCAGATCTGTGTCAACAGTAGTTGGTCCTTCCTAACCACAGTGCTGGAATTGAAGTGGAATATTTGAGTTCTCTTGGTTTCATTTGGCAATAAATCATATCAAATTTATTGAGCACAAATGAGGTGCAAAGGTGGAGTCAATGCCAATCTAGAGCTCTCTTTTAAAGGTGAGTAATCAGGTGCAGTCCCTGCTGAAGGAGTCAAAAGGCATTGACTTAAATAAATTCCTGCTCTATTATGCATGATGCAGCAGCTTCCATGAAAACCCTTTGGAACAAAATCAGACTTAGTGAGCCTGATTTGTAAAATCCTGAGCAATGAAGAGAACAAAATAACAGCAGCTAACATTGTGTAAGTGTTTACTATGCCAGGTCCTGTGCTAAACGTTTTGTATACATTATGATATTTAATCCTCATAGTCACTCAGAGAGGTGAGTTGTTATTATTCCTATTTTAGAAGTGAGGAAACTGAGGCTCAGAGAAGTTTAACAAATTGCCCCATGTTTTTCAGCCCCAAAGTGGCAAAATCATGATTTTGACCCTGCTGATTCTGACTAAAAAGCCTAGGCTCATAAGCCAGCTGTCTCCCAACCATCTGATTCTATGCTGTCTCTCCAGGCTTTTATCTTCTGCCTATTGACCTTATGTTCTCTGCTGTGGCACCCCACTCCCCTGCTCCATTATTTCTGACTATCCATGTTCCAAGTTCTCCTTAATTTTCAAATCCCAGTTCATGTCTTCCACTCTTTTTAAAGAAGTCTGGAATATCCACTCCTATTATGTGCAAAATAGACTAAGAGGCAGCAGAGGGAAGTGGTTGGGAGCCTGATCCCTGGATTGAGACCACATAGGGTTGTATCTCTGCTCCTGTGTGACCTTGGGCAAATGATGTGAACTCTCTGAGTTTCCGGACTCTCATCTATAAAATGCGTACAGTAATAAAGGGTACGTCAGAGAACTGGTTTGAGGATTAAGAGTGAATGACTGTAAAGCACTTAGAACAATGCCTGGCACATAGTAGGTCCTTTGCAGGTATTGATGCTTGGCTCTCCACAGCAGCAACATTCTTCCATTTATTTATTATTATCTTGTCTTTTGATTGAAATGTAAGCTCCCTGAGGTTGGCTATGACTACTTAATGCATTTCTGCAGAACCAACTCTTCCTAGCACTTGAGAGCGGTTCAATGAAGATAGGCTCAACTTCCACAACGACCGACTTTCAAGAAATTGACATGAAACTGATATACTCTGTTTTTCTGTGCATTTTGTTTTTTATTTATATACACAAATCCAATTGGTAGTCCCACTGTGAGAAAAAGTAAATACAGAAAATAAAGTTGTATTAGTGTAACATAGATAGTCTCATAAATGCAGACATAGAGACAAAGAAATATTTACTTATGTCTCCCTCCGTTTAGTGCCAAATTGCTTACACCAGTTAAGAAAGAAGGAAAGATGAGCAGAAAGAAAGAGCAGCAACCAAGAGACTCATTTTAAAATGAAATCCAGAAGGAATTTTTTATTTTTTTCTGCCCAAACCAGCTTTCAAACACAGTTCTCAATCCCAAGATATTAAAAAAAAAAAAAAAAAAAAAAAAAAACCACGATCATCACAGGAGGAAACAAAGGCCAGGCCTACAGCATGGCTCTGCCAAATCCCGAGATGCTGCCTTCTCCAAAGAGATCCCTGGACCTGGAGTTCTCAAGGCAGGGCTCAGCAACTCCCAGCACAAAGACGCACAGCCAGAGCCTCTCACAGAGCAAGTAACGCCATTTCTCCCAAAGACTGAATGCACAACTGTGGCAGTTTGACTCTCCCCAATCTTGCACAATTGATGCAAAAATGTCCTTGAGTATTATATACAAGTGTCTTCAAAATGTAAATTAAATTATCTCCAGCAACCTGTCCCTCGAAGAAAAATCGACAATTTCAAGATGGCATATCTTAGCACCTATATAGCACAGTCTCTGATTTTCTTGGGAACATCTTGTAAGGATAAAATATATGATTTTTTTTTTTCGGTTCAGGCACAAGATCCTCAGGTCCTGGATCAGCTGTCCAAAAACATCACAAGGATGGGACTAACAAACTTCACCCTCAACTACCTCAGGGTAAGACCAATGAATAAGTACACTTCCTGGTGAGTTTGAAAAGTACCTCAGAGGTTTGTATGCTTCTTGAACCAAGGAGTTGAAATGAGGTGATATAGCACAATATGTATGTTCTGTGCCTCGGCATGTGTGTTGTCTGTGTGTGTGTGTGTGTGTGTGTATGTGGGTGTCTGTGTTCAACAGAGGATGGGGTTTAACTCACAAAGCATCAAACCTAAAATCTGTCAGGGTTGAACTTCTTCTGTATATTTCTATGACACTTGGAATAAATAATTCAAAGGCTAGCAATGTCCCTGTCTCCTAAAATTCTTTGATGCTACTTCTCTCTGGTTGTCTCAAGTTTCTCATGTGCTATTGTTGAGTTGGCTGCCTCCATGTCTACACCCAAGGACCCCACACCCCTTAGGAGAGTCAGTGTGCCGTCCTGACAGAGACCATGTCTATAGGGTCTCCTGAAAAAATCCATCCCAGTGCTGTAACATAGACGTTCCTAAGGCTTCTTATGGACTCTGCCTAACACGTAACAAATTTTTCTACTTTGGATATAATTTCAGTTTTTACTTTTTTTTCCCTTTTTTATTTGAAATATAATTGATTTTCGTATTTGTGGGGTACAGAGTTGAGTATCAATACCTCTGTGCAATACGTGGTGATCAAATCAGAATAATTATTATGTTCATGATTACACAATGTCATAATTTTTTGTGGTCTTTTGCCATTTCTCGCTACCCTCCTTCCCTCTCCCCCTTTCTCACCTCTGGTAACCTCAGTTCTATTCTCTCCTTTTGAAAGTTCAACATATTATTGTGATTGTTGTATCTTTCTTTTTTCTTTATTTGTTCAATTTTTTAGCTCCCACTTACTAGTGAGGACATGCAGTATTTTTCTTTCTGTGCTTGGCTTATTTCACTTAACATACTTTTCTTTAAGTTCATCAATGTTGCTGTGAAGTGCAGAATTTCATTCTTGGTAAAAATTGGATATAAATTCAGTTTTTACTTTAAAAAATTAAGCGTTTTGGGCAAAATTCCCTGCCAGTGCAGTACTCATAGCCTCCATATTTGGCCTGAAAAGGAAACATACATCACACTAGGTTTTTGGATGGAAATGCAGTCACTGAGTTACAGGTGGGGGATATGGTTTCATTTATAAAGCAAGCATTGTCCTGCATCCGGAATCCATGCAAAGTAAACAGCCACAGTCCACCTGCATATGCCTCTGAGATGTTGATTTCTTTCTTTGCACAGCAGTTCGCTCTCCAGGGCCCCCAACCCCATTGTCAAGTTTATGTTGCTGCTTCTTTTTTCCTTAAGTGCAGTCCAGGTTTGTGAATTTTGTTTTGTAGTCACAATCCTTTCTGTACAAGTCCTTGGAGTGGCCTTTGAGCAGGATCTCAAACTCACTTCCCAAAATCAGTGCTCAAAGCTGCTGTGGTGAGACCTGGCCTGGTTAGTGGTCTGGGAATGACAGACTAGGGTTATTTCTTCCATTTAGAACTGGGGTTTGATTCCCCTAATAGTCTTATCATCTGATTTTTTAAGACAGCTGAGCAGTCACAAAATGCGTTCATTTGTAAAATTGCCTGAAAATCTGAAGTTCCCCCATCCTTCTGAGGAGTCTGGCCTTTGCCTCGAGCCTCAGAAGGTCATCTGAAGTACTGTTGAAACAGAGTTAATGAGGAGCTTCAGGAACCACTCCCAGTATCAGAAAAAGAGTTCGGACAGGTATGCTGGCAAATATTAATCCAAGGCCTTCTATAGCAGTAGAAGAATTTTAAAAATTAATTCATCTTGCTTTGGAAAGGGGAGATAGAGATTTTAAATGTTCCAGACTTTGAAATTGCAGCATGTGATGTCTGACATGTAACACAATTAAGCAATGCAGAATATAAGCAACTACAGACATCTATCGTCGTCACGAGTTCATTATTTCCATGAAATTCTTACTCATTCTCATGGAGACCTGCAGTCAGGAAATGAGCAGAGCTGGTTGAAGGTAGCATTGTCATTGCAGCAAGAAGCAGGTGGTACCTGATGACCGAGCTTTGGAGGCTATAAATGCAGATGATGGAGCTGAATCACATGTTTGCCAGCATCCGGGGTGGGGGTGCGGGGGCCTCTGGTGATCCCATGCTTTTGAAGCGACAAGAACAGCTGTTGCCGTTTGATTTGGGATGTTGAATTGCCTGCCTTTCCCTCCCATCACCTCCCAGCATGAAAAGGTTGGAGGTGCTCTGTGCTGAGAGGTGCAGAGATGGCTGATTCAGTGGTCCCAGTGGAGCTGTGACTGGAGGTCATCGAGGCACAGTCTCTCTTCTTCTGGGGACAGCCTCAGTGGCCTGGGAGAGGCTGGGCTTGCTGATCTAGTCTCCCAGCAGTGGTTGTCCAGGCCAGGGCTGGGAACGGGCCTGCAGAATGAGGAAGTCACCTCCTAGTGGCTGTTAGGCATTCCCAGACACTGGGTGGTGGGTTTCACAAAATGTGTCCTCCATCTACTGGGGAGGAGAATTGTTTCATATTTTGGGGTGATGGCACCATTTAATAGGTGACACTGTCATGTTCGTGGGAAAGCATGGGTCCTTCTGTCCCCTTGGTATTCCCTGTAGGGAAGGCAGAGTGCACTTCTCTGGTAGGTGCTAGGTGATCCCAGTCAATGGAACCTGACTGTGGAGCCTCGTCAGCTTCCACCAGGTCCTCTTTGCCCATTTTCATAATTCATTTCACAAGCATTCCCTACACACCTTCTTTGTGCCAGGTTTCTGCCCTCAAACACATTGCTTCCTGGTACATGAGAAAGAAAAACAAATATATGCTGGGAGAAATATCAGCAATAAACCTAGCACTAGCTAACATTTATGGAGCGCTTACCATGTGCCAGGCACTGCTGCTATGTGCTTTGCAGAGACTCTTTTTTTAAAAAATATTCTCAGCAATGTTATGAGGTGGGAATCATTTTTAGTGCCCTTTTGCAGGTGAGGAAACTGAGGCACAGAGAAGTAACTTCCCAAGGTCACAGAGCTGTAAGTGGAACAGTAGGGATTTGAACACTCCAGACACAAAGGAAGGAGAGGTTATGGAAGGTGGACGTGGGAGGCTGCAAAGTCTTCATAGAGGAGACGGCCCTTGCAGTGACTCTGAAATCAATGATGATCAACAGGTGGTCACAGGCACGTGAGGCACAGAGCAGTCTAGACAGAGGGTTCACTGTGAGCAGTATCATGGAAGGACGGAGAAAGTTGCTGGGTCTGGAGAATTCTAGGAAGTATTGCATGGCTGAAATATAAGTTTCAAGTCGGTTTTAGGTACCGACAGAGGTAGGTGTTTTGGACCAAAACCATATAGCCTAGCTGAGTGGTATATTCTAGAGAAACTTTTCCAGCCACAGACAGAATGATCGGGGTTAGCAGCCTCCTGCCATGGCATGAGCTTGGTGGTTAGACAGACAAGAGTATGGATTTGAGGACATCTACTTACTAGCTGTGTGTCACTGGGCAAGGTACTTGACCTCTCTGAGCTTCTGTTTTCTCATCTGTGAAAGGAACTACGACACTATCCTCACTGGGCTCTCGTGAAATAAATGCATGAAAAGCTTACGTTAATCATTTGCCAAAGTGTACTTTATAGGGGTCTCTGGTCCTCTCCCCTGGGTAGAGTCGAGTCATTGGTTGGATTCTCCTGCGGGCAGAGCTTGTGAGAACTCCCACGGGTCAACACGCCCAGGAGTCTGATCCTTTTCCCTTAATTCTAGCCTTTGATTTCATCAAAGTAAAGCCCCTTCTAATCAGAGTTTGTAATTGCACAACTTCAAATTTCTTACATGAAATTCTTGTATGTGAATGTTTACTGTATATAATAACTACGTTTTCTTCAATAGCTTTAAGGAATATGATTTTAAAATTCAAAAGAAAATAATTCATGTCTATTTCATTTTTAATACCATAAAGAGAAAGGGGATGGGCAACGCAGAAATTCTGTCTTTGTTTAAAGGAAACCCCCACAAACATCCAGGATGGCACTGGCTGAGATGTGATTTTTGTTTTCCTTGATCTCCCCAACAACAGAGTGGACATGCCTCGCACCCTCAGAAAGCTGCAGGGACAGCATTAGTTTTTGCAGTCATCTGTTCTTGTTTCTAAATTCATGTTAATTAGCTAACCAAGAGATTTTTTGGTGGCATCTACTATGTGTTAGGTACAAAAAGGATGGGACAGGATGTTTACAAGAATGGCTGAAACACATTCCCTCTCTGAAGGAGTTTAAGATACTGTGACAAGTAGGTCTGCTTCCAGCCCACACTGTCCAACCTCAGCTGGGGACCGCTGGTTATCTCAGCATTTTTCTCCTCTCCTGATTTCCCTGGGGATATTCCAATCTTCTTCGTCTCAGCAGATGACTTAAATTTGCCTTGCTTACAGTTTTCAGTGCACTAATCCATTTCTCTGCTTCACCGTGCCTTCTTATCTTGGCACTCAAGACCCTCCATGATCCGGCTTCTGCTGCTTCCCAGGCTTGCCCCATGCCCCTTCCCCACCTGGCACTCCATCCTGCATCACATGAACCACCTGCGGTTGGTCCACGTTGGTCATGCTCTTTCGCCTCCAGGCCTTTTCACGATGGAGCTCATGACCTGAAACATTGTTTCTGCTCTTCCCTTCCCATCCAATTTTCCCCATCTAGATTCTTCTTACCCTTCAGGACTCATTTCATCTACCACCTCTGCTGAGAATCTCTCTCACCCTCAGCGGGGGTTGGAGCCCCTCCCCAGTGCTCCTGGAGTTCTGCGCACATGGCCTCAAGCTTAGCTCTTGGCAGGTCTTGTTTAAGAATTGTCACTCCACTCATCTGTCCCCTGCACTAGGTTCTGAGTAACATGAAGACACATAAGCACCAAGGAAATGTCTTTTAAATGGATGGTTGGTTTGATAAAGGAAAGACTTGATTTTGAATAACATAAAAAAAGAAAGATAAAATCTACTTAAATCAAACTCCAGTAAATTCACT